GTTGCGACCAGTCTGCGACGCCGTACACTGATATGGCAGTTCCTGCGTACAAAATGAAAAGTTTCTGACAGAAATGTAGAAACCACACGTACCTGTGAATTGGAACCTCGCTGAAGCGCCTCGTCCCCACGACTGGTGCGTCGAATTGCCATGGGGCGTGGCAAATTGTGGTTTCTCGCCTGTTTCGAATGGCCCATCTCTGCGCGTCCATGGGCCCCAGTAGTTGATTGCTGGGTCGTTGTCGTCGACAATAGCCCTTTTTCCGGAAAGGGACGTACTTGACCCCGCTTCGATCACAATGTAGTCGAGAGACGCGCCTGCGATTTGCGATATCTCGATTGTGTGCGCGCCGTCGCGGAGCTTGGGGGATTGGTACCATTGCAGGGTACTCGGAGGAAACGCGTCGCCGTACGTCGCCCAGTAGGGCGCTCCACCATCGATCGATACGCGTATAGTCTGTGAAGCGCGTGCTGGTGGTGTCGTCCCGAACAGAGATATCTGAATGCCTATGAATCGTGATAAAAATTGGTATGGTAGTGGACAAAAGGCGAAGATGCGAACCTTGGAACATCACGGCGAGTCGCGCATAACGACCTGTGTCGCCATATTCTGTGGCAGCAAAGGATGAAGAGACTGCAGAACCACCGTAGAAGCGTTCCATGGGTATGTTGCTCCACTGCCCCCCATCGAGCAAAAGCTGAACATCACCCTGACGATCGTCGCAGATGATGTTCACCATATCGCAAGGTTGACAGTCGATGACAGAAAGAAAGCAATGTTGAAGAAAATGCGAACTGTCGATAAACTTTTATTAGTGCAGTAATCCGAATAACCGCGGGCCCGAAGAGATCGTATGGCCAATTGGTATGCGGGGCCTGGGGCTATTCAGATATTCAAGATTGCTAAGATTTGCAATAGATCTAATATGTTACCCCTGCATTGAAAAAGACTCAACTTACCGAAACGGGCGTTAGCGCCTACTAACTCGGCGGCGCTCGAGCATCAATCTCCTGCAGGGCTTTTTCGTGCAGCCATTTTTGGCCTGCAGATCCAACAATGAGTTTTCTGGAGCGAAGCTAGTTCATGTACGCTATGCCCGTAAGCAATTTGTCCAAGGCTATCACCAAAACCTTGAGTAGCTCACCTGGGTTGGGGAGAATCCCGTTCTTGTGCTCGATTCTAAAAATGCAACATTTCAGCGTCATAGATGGTGCTAAGAGCAGCTAATCCTCAACTATAAACCTGCATCGCCACGCGCTGGAGAAGTCCCATGGCTGCTTGCTGCCTTTGAGGCCATCGATTTTTCTGGAGAGACTCGGAGACGAGAGGCGTGAGAAAGTCACCAGCATATCGTATTGTTTTATCTACCCACAGCATCCTCTTCGCATCCACCCATGTTCACCTCGACGCAGGCATTACCCTAGAGCTCTTTGACTACAGTATCTGAGCCTCGTCCTGGATGCCCGGCGCGCTCCCCCTGGACCTGAGCTGCTGACCCGTGTTGCGGCCTTTGGCGGCGGACCTAGACGACCAATCAAGTAGACTTGATTTTTCAGGCCTCAGGATCGAGTATCTGGCCAATTTTTAACCAAGGGCACTTTTATCTTATCTCAAAATGTGGTGCACTCGAATCTAAGACCCCTCGTAATGACACTGGAGTACGTGGGAAGGTGCACCTCGTGTCCGTCTCTGTCTCTCCCTCTGCCCTACCCCCAATTCACAATGTACAGATCATCAGTCTCATATAGAACTACCCACCGGCCCCGCAGCTCAATGGTCACTACTACAGAGATCGACATGGCGGCGCGCACCGCGATCGCCACGCTGAAAACCGCAGGCGTACCACACGCCTGCTTCGTCGGCGGCATGGCATGCAAGCTCCTCGGAAACACCAGAAGACCCAACGTAAGTATCGCTTCCTCACCTAATAACTTATCGTCCGATCCTACGATCGTCCAGGATCTCGACATCCTGTGCCTCACGAGCACATGGACGCAGGAGGCGCTCAAGCAGAGGCTCGTAGCGCTCGACGCAGGCTTCTACTTGATCGCCGCCCGCAGTCCGCTCGCGACTTACAAGGTGCTGTGGTACCGCCTGCCCGTGACCGACTCGCGCGTCAAAGTCGATCTGCTGTTCCCCGGGGTGATGAACATCCCCGTGATCCCGCCCACGCGCATCATCACTCCAAGCACGGACGCATACGCGAATCGAGACAAGCTTCGGTGTGCGCCGCCTGCGCTTGTGCTCTTGCTGAAGCTGCAGGCGTGGCAGGACCACAGGGACGCGTTCGAGTCAAGGTTTTGGGGGAAGCAGTACGTCGACGCGGATGACCTAATGGCGCTCCTGCCTGTTGTTTGTGCGATGGGGGTCGATTTGCGAAAGGAGATGGAGATGGAGATGCTGGGTGCGCTGCTGGCGCTGTCGCTGCCGCGGGTGGAGCGGTTCATGCTGCAGGTGCCGTCGTCGAGAGCATATTGGGAGACGTTGGGGCTTGTTCAGAAAGTTGAGGAGGCGAAGGAGGTTGAGAAGGTGACGAAAGCGGAGAAGGCGAAGAAGGCGGAGAAGGCGGAGAAGGCGAAGAAGGTGACGAAAGTGGAGAAGACAAAGAGAGTGGAGAAGGCTGGGGGTGCGAGTGCGAGTGCTCGTACGCGTACGCGTGACGATAGGAGTGTGGGGATACCGAGCCTTGGGAGAGCTGCGTCCAATGGAGTCACCCCGACGCCGCATGCAGCATTGATGGATGGCAGGGGCACTGGTAAGACCAGGAGTAAGCGTAGCAATGGAATGCCGAGAATGCCCAGCGTTGGCAACAGTGCGCAACGCCCGACGTCGCTTGAGGATACGATGGCGCAGCTGGCGCTGGACAAGTCGTCCAGGTAGAGGTGGAATGGACGTGTATTAAGTCTCCTTGTGGGCAAGGCCAGATACTGACGCAACAAAGTGTATTATTACGATAGGGTCGGATCTATGGTCGGCGTCACTTGAATCGCTGAACAGGTATTGTACTAGCATGTATATCCACTCTACGCTAAAGCTCCACGCGCTTCACATTGTAGTCTGTAGAACTACCAACACTATGTTTTCCTTTCACCTTTTACTTGAATGTTTACTTTGATTTGTTACACTCTGTGCACCATCCAACTGACGCTGTTATCATTCAACGCGATAAGAATAACTGTGAGGCAAGGAGTACTTCAGGTTCGAGCATGCGCCGCCGACTCCTGAGTTGCTGCTTGCATAGTACATACAGGTCATGAGTTGGCGAGTTAGTTTTTATGAACAAGAACGAGCGCGATCCACGTTTCTTGTAAGCACTCAAGCTATACAAGGGGCACCCAATGAAATTGTTGACTTTCCCGGACTTCCTAAAGTGGCTTCCTCGAGGCGGTTAGACGCTGCTGGGGATCAGATAAAATAAACTTTGAGAAAGCTTGAGTAGATTCGGACAATCGATAATCCTACCTGTGAAATAACGTAAGAGCACGACGAAACTGAAAAGAGACGAGAAAAACCTTGAAACTTGGTGAAGCGTAGACATACACTGTCTCCAGCGAACTCCCGGTCCTCGTTCAGTCACGATATTCAGCCCGAAGATTTTTTGCTATGCCCACTTCTGGAATCTCGCGATTGAGCGCTGTGGTGAGCTCGTGGAGTTGCTGTATTGCCGTCCTATCGCCGCCGAGATGGGGAAATGCGTCTGGACTCTGGGCTGCCGTGTCAACGTGGCAAGATGTGTCTGGCGGCGAAGGATGAAGAAGCTGAAGAGCCGCTATAGAAGTACTCTAAATGTAGATCGCTATCCGGCACAACGTTAACTTGTATGTCAGCTGAACATCACCATTTGGGTGATCGCCGCAAGTGATGTTTTTCACATCGCGCCTGCCAGTAGTCGATGATACGGTGGAGTGCCAGAGAACATATCTAAAAACTTTTATGAGCACAGAAATCTAAATAAACACGATCCCAAAGAGATTGTTGGTCCAATTCGTATGCGTCGCCTGCCAGTGGGCTTGTTCAGACCTAAAATACTCACTTACCGAAAGGTGTGTTGGCGCCTCAAAAATTGCCCGTGCCTAGATCCTAGAATTATTTTTCTGCGGCCCGGCAGGATTTTAGTGGATGTTGCTTGAGGGAGGTCACATCCGGCCACGTGCACGCGCACACCGTGTTGATGTCGCACCTCGCTCGATGAACGCCCCCCAGGACGTCACAGGCGCACCGTAGAGGAGTAAGAACAGCGCGATAGTCAAAACGGCGTCAGCTGCACCGCCCAAGACAGCCGCAATAGGCACCCCACCATCCTTACGCTCCGTGCTCTCGTCCACAGTCGGCACGGGCACGGGCACCACCGCGGGCGTCTCGCTCGGCGCGGTGAAGGTCTCCGCGGCGGTCGGGAGCGCAGCGAGCGCGTCTGTGAGGGGCGTATACACGATGTGGTCGAGCATGAGGGACATCTGCCACTCCGCGAGGCTCAGAACCTCGACTTTGAGCTTGTGGTTCCCTGCTACGAGATGCGTTACCTGGGCTTATTTAGATCCAAAAGACTCGCTTACCAAACGATGTGTTAGCACCCGATGCTGGGCGGCGCTCAACAATTGCCGGTCCCCAGTCCCTGGATGGTGGTCTATTGCTGCTCGCTGTCTTGGCTGATGTAGACGTCTTTTTCTTCGGCCCAGCAGGATATGGCGCAAGATGCACGAAGGATGATGGTTGAGAGAGGTCACAGGTGGCCAGTGGCCGTCCACATCTCGTAAATGCAAATATGTGCGCGTGTCGACGTCAACCTCCTGACGTCCCTGGTCCCAGCAGCTCTTATGTGTTGATGCACTACATGATAGAAGCATCACAGAGAAAGCAGCTTTATTAATATTATCATCACAAGATAAATTTGCCACTTGCCACCAAAGTTTAACAACAACAGGTCACCCACACGCCTGGCGCCGTGCTGGAATTCTGCAAGTTTGAATCAGAAATAAAAAGAATGCCGGAAAGCGAACATATGGACACACCCGGAATTGAACCGGGGACCGCCCGCAGAATAGTCTTTTTCACGTCATGCTAAGCGGGCGTGATAACCAACTACACCATGTGCCCTTGCGAGTCGGGCGGAGCCGCACGCTGCACGATATAGGCATATGTGTCATTAGTTGACAACAATAATCTACAATAATCCAGTGTGTTTGCTTGCCGTTCTTGCGCGTTCGTGAGGACTCATCCAGGTGTGTACAGATTCGTGGATGCCAACACCGAGCACCGAGACAAAGCAGATGCTGAGGACAGAGATTGAGCGAAGGGGAGGGAGCCTAGAGGTAGAGGTCATCGTGAATAACGAGGATAGTATAGCTCGCCTTCGAAGAGCCCAGTGGTGATCAAGTACTCGGCGTAGATGCGTGAGCGTGAGGTTCACGGAGCGTGCAACTCACTGTCGGTATTCATGAACCGTGAACCGTGAATCGCGATGGACAGCGGGAGCTGGGTGCACCTTTTTGCATGCGGGACACTTGTGGATCTCGAATCATAGATAGCGGCCAATGCGGATAACGGGTGTCAGACTCGAAGGGCGCATCCACGAGCCTCGGGCCGCGTACCCGCGCTGAGGCTGAGGCTGAGAGAATGGTGGTCTCGCAGGACAGGTCGTCCGGTGCGACGCTCGAGAGGGGGGCAGTTGTGATCTTGACGTGTGGGGTCCAGCGAGCGTGAACTTGACGGTCAGCAGAAATGTGAGAAAATTATGGTTCCCAGATAGTAGTGAAAGCCTAGAGCGGGGGGCGGGTCATTGGGATTGACGTTGTTGATGCTACTAGCGGGACACTTGCAGTCAGAGGAATAAGTCGATGCAGCATTTGTCACTGGCATGACTCTTGATGGGCTCCGTCTGGGTAGCCGAACGCGGTGGTCCAGTCACTATGAAGACCGCCTAGGTTGCTGGTCAACCTACCACATGGTGAAACTCGCCTTTCAACCATACTCTGGTCGAAGTTTAGGTTGATGTAATATCAACCTTATCTCCATGTCGAATCACAACCTACGCAAGATAACCTACAAAAGGTTGATTATTACCCTGGAGCGCTACCATAACACCAGTAACCGAAAGCAATCAAGTTCATTGAAAGTCCGCCTCACATAGCCCCAGAAAATTTCCCTCTCGACGTCCATCACCTTCTCTCCCCTCCCCAAATCCTCCCTACTCATGAGCGAGCTGTGACTCAGCTCCGTTTTCTTTGCCCAGGGTTATGTACCCCTCATGTTTTTTGTTCCAATCTGCCTGGTTTGTGGG